CATAATGATTAACAGAGACGATGAACTAAACGGAATGAATTTGTTGTGTGATAGTTTTAAGAATGTTCTCGTTTAGAGTGGAGGCTGATACAGGAGAGGGTAAAGGTTCTGTGGAGATAAAACACTGTTTTAAATGTAATACAATTCCATCAGCTAAATGTGCTCAGGTGAGAGTATATGTACACAGTGTTAAAAACATGAAAGTAGAAATGTGGAACATTCATGTGAGTAAATATGGCCATTAACATCTATCATCTGTAGAATAATTATGATGAACAGAGAAGCTGGTCGGAGTGGATCTGGATAGAGTTAATCCAGAACAATTCAGGAAGAAAACTTTTTTTCTCTCTCTCTTCTTGCCCCTCCTGCTCCAGCAGAACTCTCATGCCCGAGGAAAACCTCACACTTTGAAGAGCCCTGTTCATGTTTTGGAATATCCCAAAATCTACATTTAGACTCATATAATGTATGTTTGTGCAGTTCTGATCTTCTGATGATTGACAACAGCTTTCAATCAAACACATTTATTTTATAGCATATTTCAGCAACAAGGCAAACAAAGTACTTTGCATCATAAAAACACAAACATGCAAAGTCATAAAAAAACACAATAGTCAACAATTGGGAAGACCGGAAACAAACATTACTTTTTGAGGAGTGCCATCAATAAAATCATGAATACACATCAAATATTTTGGCCAATATGATTCTAAAGTAACTCTAAACATGTGATATTTTAGCCTAGATTTAAAGGAATTCAGTGTTTCAGCTGTTTTGCAGTTTTCTGGAAGTTTGTTCCAGATTTGTGGTGCATAGAAGTTGAATGCTGCTTCTCCATGTTTGGTTCTGGTTCTGGGGATGCAGAGCAGAACCAGAACCAGAAGACCTGAGAGGGCTGGAAGGTGGATACATCAGCAGTAGAACTTTAATGTATTGTGGTACTGAAACATTCAGTGATTTATAAACTAACAGTATTTTAAAGTCTGTTCTCTCAGAGAAGGACTGTAGGACTGGGTGATGTTCTCTATCTTCCTGGTTTTAATCAGAACTCCAGCAGCAGTGTTCTGGATCAGCTGCAGCTGGAGGCTTGATTTGATCGTCAGACTGGTGAAGACGCTGCTGCAGTAATTAATGCGACTAAAGATAAATGCCTGGATGAGCTTCTTTAGATCTAGTTGAGACTTTAGTCCTCTAATCCTGGAAATGTTCTTCAGGTGACAGAAGGCCGACTTAGTAACTGTCTTTATGTGGCTCTGAAGGTTTAGGTCAGAGTTCATTACCACACAGATTTCAGCCTGTAATAAGTGAAGCTGTGTGGACTCTGGATCATTTCTCTGTAGATCCAAAGATAATAACTTCAGTTTTGTTTCTGTTCAGCTGGAGAAACAACTTTATTCATTTCATTTTAATTTTACATCAAGTATTTTAACACGCATTTTACCTCAAGTTTGTAATAAAGTATTTCTGCATAGTGTGAGTCACAGAAACAATTTTCTGTATGCACATGTATAAAGTTACGGCCATATTCAAACAACATGAGGCGCATTAAAATTGATACATTTTTATTATAAATTAGACCAAACAGAGAACAGCTCCCTGGATTTGCATAGAACTCCATGTACATGAGCTCCGGTACAGCTACTCAGTAAGCCAGATATTTCATTAGCCCAGCTGACCTACATTCTCCGCTGGTTTGGATTAGAAAGGCTCGACCTTCTGCTGTCGCTCTTGTGATTTCATGATATCTTGTGTGAACAACTGCAGCCACAGCAGCCATGATTAGTGGCTCATGCTGCTCTCTGAGAACACTGTGGAGTTCAGGCCTGATACTTTAGAGCCCTCATCACAACAAGATGAGCTGTTAGAAACAAAGACCTGCTAAATGAAGTGTCTGTCAGAAGTGGTCTATAATTAACTCATTACTGTGGACAAAACGGCTTTCATTCAGCCAAATTTGAAGCAAATAAAAAAGTCTTACTATTACTATCAGTACAAATATCATGCTTCCCTATGTTTTTGGAATGGTTTTTGGAATGCGTATATCAAGAGAAATAAAATCTATATTTTTTTCCAGTTCCTGAATTTAATTTGATTTTATTATGTTTCAGAAGTGGACTAAATTTCGAATGACTGGATGCTCCAGGTGGCCATCTGGACGCCAGCTGATTTTTCTCCACCACTGTGATGTTTATTATTCGGCTTGAAGTTGTTTCAGGTGAGTACATCAGCTCAGTGCAGAGTGAGCTGCTGGTACCAAAGGAAAAATAAAGTTCATCTGTCTTATTCACTGGAGCTGCATGACAAACTTTTGCATTTCTCTCTGATTTGTTTTGGAGTCATTTTTTCACACAAACATTCTGCATGAGTTCAGGTTTAAAGCAGTGCTGGATTTGTTCTGTATGGATGTGTATCAAACGGACAACTTTTGTACAATCACACCCTCAATTATTACTGTATTGTCACATAGCTATTAGCATAAGTTTTGTAGTATTGTTCTGATTTTTTTGCCATTTTAAAATTTGCTTGAGCAGCAATTGGTACTTTTAGAAAGGATAAGTCGTTATCCTGTTGTTCTAACTACCACAATTTATTTCATTTACACAGAAGTGCATTTTTTATCATTCCATAATCAGTGAAATCTATTGCTCTGTGAAAATACAATTTTGTGGAGCAACTCAGACCAAAAAATCTAAAATGGTTCTGTAGTAATATCTTCAGTAATACTCAGTTTGTTTCTGATTGTTTGCATCTCACTAAAAAAAGGCAGCTAAATTTGAAATGAATCACATTCTGAGAAATAGCTTGTTATTTAAGTTGGAGGTAGATTCATTCCTACGTCCTAATTTTTCATTCTGACACAAATAAAACGCAACATTATTAACATGTAAAATTTATATTCAAAGGTTCAACACAATTTTGATTAGATTGGAGTAAATGATGATTTCCTGCCTTTCTGTAAAATTATAATGCTTCTGAGATCTGAGGATGTTTAGTTTAGTCTTACAGTTGCTAATGTTGCATTTGATCAATTTTGGAGGAAAAAACTTCAAGTTAGAAAAAACTGCTCTGTTGTTTAAATTATTCTTTTAGGTATTTTTCCATAAACATTCTGCTTCCAGTACCAAGTAGGTGTTATATCTGCTGTAAAAATTGTCTTTTTTTAAATTGTTGCTGCTATGGTATTAGTATTAGCAGCTGCATGTCGGTGTAGAAAGCAAGATGGTCTTCAGTTTAGCCCCATTCCTTCTGTAGGAAATGTGAGTGAATGACAAAACTTCCTCCTGTGTATCTATTGAACTAACTAGTAAATCTTCAAAGTGAAGGAATGATTGAGATGTTGCTGATTTATTAGCTTTGTAATGGACTGACAATGAGTCCATTCTTTGAAGGCAGTCTTTCAGTTGTCTGGTCATCATCGTGAAAGCAAACTGTTACATCACATAGCTACTGCTGATAATGAGACAATAAAATCTGTTCACTCATTCATTTATCTGGGGCTGGTTGTCAGGGGAACAGCCTCCCTTCCTCCAGCTAGAAGAGGGGTTGTTCCTCCTAAACGCACTCTTCAGGGTGACTTCATTATTAATCAAAATCGTCCTGAAGCACAACAGAATTCCTAGATGGCATTTCTTCTAAAACAACATCTGCATAATCTGAAGTGCTGTGTGGAGGTGTAGAATACTGCATGTTTTAGTATCAATACGATACATGGCCAGTATCACCAACACCGGTCCTGTATCGGCTATTTTATTTAACCCTTTATGACCTAAATTTAAAATCTCCACCTGGATATGTTTGCTTATTTTAATTATGTGAATTTCTTTAAATGTTCTCTAAGTAAATACATTTGCCCATTTACTGTCGATTAAAAGAGAGCCCTTCAGACTAATTTTACTCCCTGCTAAGGGCGGTCCTTTAACAAAATTGTGTCATAGATCTAAACAAAATAAATCAAATTTTATAGGTGTCTAAGCTGAAGCTGAACTATTGATACTACCACACTAGTATCGATCTAAATCAGATTCCCTACTAAGTAGGGAAATCAGATTCTAATTGCTAATTGTTCATTGGCACCAAATAAGAATCTTCCTTCTGGAATCTTGAAACCACAAATAGTCTTACTCTATGGAGAGAACTCCAACTTAGAGGCAGTCAGCTGTGAGTTTCTCAACACCTATATACGTGGTCCACACCACAGAATGAGAGGCTGGGTACCACAGTCTAAACCGCATGTGGAAGTTATCCCTAATACACCTCACTGGTTCCATGTCCCTTCAGCCTGATCCGTACTGGAAATCAGAACTGACGCTATGAAGGACATGGCTGTGAGCCTTCTTGAAAAACTTTCACAACAGTCATCATCAAGACGAAGTACTCCCATTTTTAATGGATAGGAAAAAAAAAAAGAAAAAGGAAACTACCAAAAGTAGCTTCAAAATGTCATTTTCAACAAGAAAATAGAGAGTCTGGGTCTTCTTCATAGAGGAATTTATGTCATATAGTTACAATGATTTCCTCTGAAATAGACTAAATGCCTCTGGATTATGGTGCAGTCAAACGGACTGCAGGTGAGGACACAGGTGAAGCTTTGGTTAGACATTGTTTTTTAATGAAGACAGTAGCTGTGCTTCCATTGACCAAATAGTTGCACAATTTGATATTTTCAAAATACATTTGCTTAATGGAAACACCAATTTCAAAGAAACACTTGTTTTTTTGATCAAACGTTTTGGTGCTGGGAGGAGGAACGTTTATTATGTGCACAAACTTATTCATGTGTGATTTTAATTGTGTTTTCTATAAAATAGAAACACCAGAGTTGCAAAGTTTTTTTGTTTTTTTTTACATTAAAATATAGACAAAGTTTTGTGTGTGTTAGTAAAGGAAACACAGCTAGTGATCGGCTATATTTAGAGCTACTGTGGTAAATTACGGCCAGAAGCTGGTTGAGAACAAACACTCCTCACACTTCAGCATTTCATCAGTTCTTCCATCCTTACCTTCCGTCCTCCTGTGTTCAGCCTCAGAGGGGTCAGGTGAGGGTCAAAGATCATGTGAGTGGTTTCGATGTCAATGGGGGACTGTCTCTTCCCGATGGCACACAAGTTCCAGGCCGAGTTGACCAGACCCCAGAAGGACGGAACTAGTGAAGAATGAGAGGGAGACAGAAACAGAGATACATTTTCATTTCAGGTAAATCCAAACAGAAAGAGAACAGATAAACTTAATTATGATGTGATTGGAGAAAACAGGAAGATGAGATCTTAATTTACTGAAATCCAATAATAATAATAATAATAAAATAATAATAATAACAACAACAGTAACAGACAAACTATTGCTAGCTGCTCATCCATGGGATTAAATTATTTTTACTTTCCTCATCTGAGTGTCTGTGCTGCAGCACATTCAGTTTGAGATGAGATCAGATGTGCCGGGTGCCAAGACTGTGCTGGAATCCATGTAGGTTTGCATTAATATAGAAAGAACTGAGTGGGAGTTGTAACCATTTTTACACCTAGTGTGTGAAGATGCAACAGAGCAGACCAAAACATTAGCTTAGTAAGGCAGGAAGGAGGAAGGTTTTCAAGAGAAAGCAGAAATGAAGGACAGATGACAAAACAGAATTTAGAACCATTTTTTAAACTATTTTATGAACAAAACTAGAAAATGCTAAATTTGAAACTAGACATGTCTGCTAAAAATAGGCTCAGTCAGCAGTTTGCAAAAGATATGATCTTGCATTTTTGATAGTCAGCCATTCCTTACCCTTCATATTGTTTAACTTGTTCTAGTGGAAGAGCGGAAGGATTGAGCCAACCTAGTCCACATAGTTTACATCTGAATTAATGGAACTGTTGAAGCAGAAGATCAGCTGGAAAATGAGGGGCACTCATCACTGACCTGCTGGGCAGCAAAACCAGAGACAAGAGGCCAGACCCAACCAGTAGAGACATATTTGAACTTTGACATAAGAGTTGCCTGACTGAACTGTAATAACATCTATCCATTGTTTGAACCCACTTCTGTCACAGTGTGATTTGTTGAGGACCCAAGTGCAGAGGCTTTCAGTGGAACATAGTGACTTTAATGAAGAATAAACAAAAGGAGACTGACAGAGATTATCGCTGGGAGAACAGGCAGCTCAAAAATAATAACCACAGAGCAACTAACAAGTAAAGGTAACGAGAAGGAGGCAGAGAAAAACAATGAGACCAGAGGACTAGGTATGCACAGAGGGGAGGTGGATAAGGACATGGGGAACAGGTGAGGAAATCAGGTGATAAGTAACACCTGTTCCTGGCAGGCTGGAGGGACTAGAGGAAGGGAAGGAAGGGAAACAAATGAACACAAACAGAGTTAAACAAAGGAAGCAAAACACCAATCTAATTTCACATACACAAATAAAAGGTAAGCAGTCAAAGAAGCTGAAGACGCAAAGGAATAAACAATATGAAAGGATCCAAGTAAGTAAAAAACAAAACGATCAAAACTGAAACGCCTGACAATCATAGCTGCTAATTCTTGCAGGACTGTGAGAGGGGCGGGGCTTATCTCCAACAGTGATTGGGCGAGAGGTGGAGTACACCCTGGAAAGGTCACCAGTCAGGACTAACAACCACACACACGCACATACTTAAGGGAAATTCAGAGAATTCAGTTAAATGAACTGTATCTGTACAGCACCAAAGCTCTTCACACTACATTCAGTCACCCAGTCACTCACACACACACTGCTCTGAGGCTGACTGGCTCAGAGTAGTGAGGCTGCCGTGCAATGGGCCCAGTAGGCCTCCTGACCACCAGCAAGGTAGGTGAAAGGTCATACCCAAGGACACAGGGCCAAAGAAGGACAGAGCTGGGGTTTGAACTGGCAACCCACCAGTTACAGGACAAACTCCCAGCTCCTCAGCCACCGTCACCCTAGTTAAACTTTCAGTCATGTTTTTTCCAAATGATACTACTGCTAAGAATGTCTAGAATCACACTAACATATCACATCAGGTGTACATGATGAAAACTCTGTTCTCTACATTCCGAAGTTCAGCTTTGATTAATAGTGACTATAAATTATAATATTTTTGGCATGTCATGATAAATTGTATAAAACTGAGTCTGACTGTTAAGACTTTGCCTTTTTCCCGTCTGGAAGTGGTCACTGTTTGAACTCCACCTGCCTTGATTCTTCATTTGAAAGTCCGGAGAGGAACCAGCCGACTCACGTCTCCTTAACTAAACAGACAGTCAGGTGTGTGGCAGACGGGGGGCAGCGACAGAATAGACTTTTTGACCATGGAGGTTTAGTACATCTGACTGGAGTTCAAGTCACATCAATCAATCAATCAATCAATCAATCAATCAATCAATCAATCAATCAATCAATCAATCAATCAATCAATCAATCAATCAATTTAATTTGGGTAGCACATTTCAGCAACAAGGCATTTCAAAATACTTTACAGAATAAAAATATAAAAATATCATAAATACATCATAGAGTATTTGTTTATTTATAAATGTATTTATTGAGTATTTATTGAGACAGAAATAACAAACATACTCAATACTCATCAAATATGTTGATCGATGTTTCATTTATGTTTCTAAAGCAGCTCTAACTAGTTTGTATATTATTCCTGATTTAAAGGAACTCAGTGTTTCGGCTGTTTTGCAGTTTTCTGGAAGTTTGTTCCAGATCTGTGGTGCATAGAAACTGAATGCTGCTTCTCCGTATTTGGTTCTGGTTCTGGAAATGTGAGCAGAATCAGAACCAGAAGACCTGAGAAGTTGATACAACAGCAGCAGATCTTTAATGAGTCGTGGTGCTAAACCGTTCAGTGATTTATAAACTAACAGTATTTTAAATTCTGTTCTTTGAGCTTTAAAATACCAGTGATTCTTCTAGCACAGTTTGAAAACCACGGATACAGAGGATTTAGTGAATATCAGTTTTATAGACTGTGACTACTTTCTGCCACCAAGTGATCCTCTGGTACAGTGTGCACACCAACTTGCATCATAAAGCCTTGGATGGGCATGTTTGAATAACAGCTTAGCTAAATGCAGCCAGATGTGCAGCTCCACGCGTTTCATCCAGCAGAAGAGAAGAGGATGATCACATGCAGAGTTCAAACCGACACACCGGGTATGTCTTCACCAAAGACCCTGAAATTCAGATTTGCCCACACCCACCACACACACACACACACACACACA